CGCTCTAGCCGCCTCCGAGGCCACCTTTGATTCTAACTCCACTCCTCCCGCCAGCCGCTCTAGCCCGGCTCCTGACAGGTGACTCTATTCCTCCTGCCGGACGCTCTAGCTCCGCACTGCGCCACGCTGGCCAGATGGGGCCGCTCTGGCCTGCCTCGGAGGACTGGCGTTTCCGCATCTCGACTGCTCCCGTCACTCCCCTGGGCCCCGCCTCCTCTCGGGCGGGAGGTGAGGAGGGCTCCAGACCGACAGCCAGGGCTCAAGCTGAGATCTCAGAGGCACCTCGGCCCGTGGGTTCCCGGACGGGGCTCCCCACCCTGTCTTGCCTCCCTAACTCGGAGATCAGTTGAATTCCCGACGCTTGTACATGCAGTCTCCCCGCACCCCCACCCCCACCCGGCACACTTTCCGCTGGTCTGGAAAGCAAAAACCCTGAGTTCGAGCGTACCTTACCCCCCCGACACGCAGTGTAACCTGGAATAAGCAATCACTTCTTTCCGGGCCTCAGTCTTCCCATCTATACAATGGGCGGAGTCCGCCAGCTCTGTCCCCCCACAACCCAGCTCTCAGGGTATAATTAGTGGCCCAGAAAAAGAGATTTCCAAAAACGCTTTCAAACAGCTCTCGGCAACTTTCAGCTTCGCAGCGGCCTACGACGTGGGTTAACCGTCGTGTTTTTTTCTCCCGGGTCCGAAAGCAAGCGGGTTAGCAGACGGCGCTCGGCGGAAAGCACCTGCGGGTTCAAAGCCCAGCGCCACCGCCTCACGTGTGTGCCCGGGGCGAGGCGGCTCGGCTCCCGGGCCTCAGTTTCCCCACCCGCACCGTGGGCGTGACCTCCATCCTCCGCGGGACAGTTGGAGGCCTTGGCCCCGCCTCGCACGCCTCGCCCTCAGCTATTGCACCTGACAGGTGTTCGTCCTCCTCTTTTTGTCCCTTTGACAGGTGGGGAAACTGAGGCCCGGGGAGGGGCTCTGCACAGCATGGCCCGGGGGGAGTCCCGATCCAGGCCTCAGCTGCTGCTCTGGAGAGGGGCCACGGACCCTGCCTGGCCTGCCCCTCGGGTGGAGAGCACAGTGGACAGTAACCTGGGGTGTAGTGAACTCCGGGGGGTGGGGTGCAGAACAGCCTGGGAGCCAGTGCAGACACCGAGGTCTCCGTGTCTCACAGATCGGTGGGCCACCTCTGGGAAGGGGCCTGGAGAATCCACCAAGGATTAATGGCAGGGTACCTTCGGGGGTCCCCGCCCGGCGGGCCGCGTCCGCCTCCGGCTGGCAGCTCCCCCTTTCCGTCCGCCTCTCTGTGTTTCTGTCCGTGTCCCTCCCTCCCTGTCTGTCTGTCTCTGTCCCCTGTTCTCCGTCCCCTCCGTCTCTGTCTCTTTCTCCCTCGGCGCCTTTTTCCCATCGGGGTCTCTGCCGAGCCATCCGACTCCCTCCCCCACCTGTTGCTTTCCTCTCTATGTCCATTTGTCCGCGGACCCTTCCCTCCATCGCTTTCTGCGGTCTCTGACTATCTCCTCTCTGATCTCCTGTCCTTCTTTGTCCTTCACTTGCCCCGTCTCTGTCATTCAGTGTCTCGGTCTTTCTCCCTCTATCTCAGAAACTGCATATCCGTGCCTCTGTCATTGCCCCTCCGTCTCTCCCCTTCCCCAAGTTAGGGCCACAGACTCTCCAAATCCCCTGCCCCAACCCACTCCCAGGGAACAGGTATGGCCATAGGAGAATTCCTTGCCAGTCCCCTGTGATTCTGAGACTTAAATATGCATAAATACACGTGGTCACCTCCACCCCCTCCTGTCCC